ATCGGTATTTGATTCATCGACTGTTACTTGGTACTTGCTATGCATGATTATTCAATCACGCCACGAACACAGGGTGTAAACGCCAATGTGTTTACTATAAGTCACCTGCACTAAAAGCTGTAGTCTCCGTATCAGCTTACTTGGAAGTTTGGTAAGTCCGAATTAGAAGTTCGATGCATTACAGAGGTATCGTCAGCCTAGTACACTAGTATTCTACTTCTGTATAAAGTTACTACTGATAGCAATACTCTATGATCATACATCATTGAAGACATCAATACCAACCTTACAAAGTGAAATTTGGCCTCTCAGATATACTGATGTTTACGCCTTCGGCTAACTTTTCCCGTGAATGGTCCGCAGTGAGCGGCGGCGGCAGCGGCAGATCAATGCCGGTTTTATGGGGCCGGAGGAGAACTATTTCGGAAAATGTATTAGCGCGGCCGGAAGAATTCTCGTCCGAGCAGCAAGATGGATCGCGAGGTTAATGGAAGGAGCGGGCCGGCCCCCCGCGGTGTGGCGTGGCGCGGGTTGGCGTGGCGCGGGGTGGCGTGGCGCGGGGTAGTGTGGCGCGGCGTGGCGCGGCGTGGCGCGGCGGGCGCTCCGGCCCCAAGTGCCGCTTTTGTGCGCCTTGCCGCGCTTCCGACGGAGAGGTTTTTTTTTCCGCTCCCGCTTTCCTCCGTCTTCCTTTTCCGCCCGGCCTTGCCTCTCCGCGGAGACGGCGGTGTCTTCGAGAGATGTTGCCCCCCCCCATCCTCCCCCACGCGTCTTGTGTGCGGGGCACACGATGGTGGTGCAGCCGGGCGAGTGGCCTTGCAACTGCGGTAGTTGGTGAAGCTTGGATCGGGTAGACTTGGGGGCTATTCACACGCATATGAGATGTTTATAAAAAGCGACGCATGTCAATAACCGTGGTTTGTGAATTAAGTTAATAAATACGTTTGCAATGTATTCGTACACCTTTACAAGTAAACAGTTATTAAATGCACTCCACAAGACACTCAGTGTGCAGAGTAAAATACTTTGTCGTTAGCCGCAATATAAACGGCATTACAGAGAATAAAACCGTTTTCTTGGATAACTACAATTGTTTCTGAATTTTCTTAAGCAATGATAATAAATTATTTGTCTTCCTTTTCCGATTATTCCACCTCGCCTAGTCTCTTCGAGTTGGTGGCCTCTGTGAGCGATGTTGTCCTCTGCCTCTCAAGCGTCGAGATTGAAGAGCTCGCGTCGATACTTAAGTCGTTCGCATAGCTCGGCAACTGCGATGGTTTGTGAAAGTCGGCGTCACTTGGTTATTAGGTTACTTACACATACCGTCGGTGCACAATGAAAGTGATACAATTCAATATTTGCCGTTCGTAAATTAAGACAAGAAATACGTATAGAACATTGTAATTGTACAACATATTAGTTGGCAGTTGACGCGCCGCCGTTCTCAGCCTCATCTGGGTGAAGCTAGAGAAAGTATTCCGTGCGCCACAATCTGACCACTCACTGACCTCTACCCCCCCTCAAGACACCCCCGCCTCTCAACTTCGTCGAACCGCGACCGTAAACCCTTTGCTTTTTCCCCCGGTGGGGGGAACCGCCCCCCCCCCCCCCAACGCCACGTGCCAATGCTCCTGGAGTCCAGGTCGCCCCTGCCCGCATTCCCATCCGCAGCCCCCGCCCACCTCATTTCGATGTTCGCTAACAGCGTTAGCGGGCGTCCTCTGAACAGATTCCGCGCCGGCGCGGTGCCCGTCCCACGCCGCTCGCGGTAACTCGATTTCCCTCCGGTTACTTTCCGCTTGCGCCGCACCGGCCTTGGCATCCAACGCCCACGTCTTCCCCCCACACTCTACGGTCCAAAGCCTGCATCGCCGCCCGCCCTCGCCCACTCCCGATGATCCAGTACAGCCCTCCCCCCCCTCCGCAGACACACTGCCCCTTGCCACCCCCGCGCCACCTCCTGCACCCCGCCACTGCCCAATGCCTGCGCCGCTTCCGCCCCCTGTCACTCACCGCCCCACCAACCCCACTGTCCACGCCACCACCGTCTTTCCACTCCTCATCAGCCCCGTCGCCCAAACCCGCCGTCCCATCTCCTTCGCCCCCCTTCCCAGCGCGCCCAGCCCGCGCGGCCTAATCCAATAACCTGCTTATCTTCCCAGTTTCCAAATTGGATAAGACGTGATCAGTAGTCCCCGGAGCGGAGCTGAGCTGAGCGCGCCGCTGCGCCGCAGCCGAGTGTATCGGGAGGCGCCTGGACATCAGAGGCAGGCGGCTCTCTCGGCCTGCTCCGTCAAGCGCGGGAGGCCCACGCCGCCCTTGCGTGCGGAGGGGACTGGCCGGAAGCTGCGTGCAATCGCAGGCGCTCAGGTTGCTCACCCCTGTTTAACGGAGACGCGGATTCAATTCCGCGAAGCGCGTTTGACATCGTCATTTCGAAATCTTCGTTGTGTTTTGCTGTGATTATACACTTGTCAGTTTCATATAAATAATAAGTGTAGTTGCACCAGTTATTGTTTATTGGTGGAGAGCATGTGTTGTCAGAATACCTGTTGTATGTGTGGGACAATTAAGGCACATAATTTTATCTTTATTATTTCAGAAGCTTAAAAGCACTTTGTAATGGTTAATAATATGGTTTGGTTGCTCGTGCGATAAATCAACCTTCTTCTCGTATATAAAATATTTTTTTGTCAGGCATGTCAAGACCGCGGGCAAGGTAACAAGCTCACTAAAGCTTGCGGACACTGTGTGCAGAGAACTTGGCGCGAGATTTAAAAGTAAGAGCAGTACAAATACCTGACGGAGTGGCGATTCGTCACTGGATACTTGGTCCAAGATAGTCTTTCGGAGAAAGTACCTGACCGATATTGCCACAAATTTAGATATATTAATTTCCATTTTCTCTTTAAAGAAAAGTATTATTTCATTTTCATGAATTATTTCATCAGTCCAATTTCAAATTCTCAATTGACAGTTAATTTTAAAAAAATTGAATCAAAAGAATCTTAATTTTGTAATCCTGTTTACTTAAGAGTGATATAAAAGCATTTTAACTATCTACATTCAGATAAGGAGATTTTACAAACACGTATTATTGTGTGTTAAAAGCACTGTCCCTCCGCACGAAAGAATTGTTAACTTATAGAGACTTATTAATTTATTACACATTATTGCTAAATACAATAAATAACTGAATCATTTAATAACACAGCACAAAACACAAATGGGATCGAAATAATTCAACATTCAAACAAATTCCTATCATTTATCACAGATGTTTATGTAAGGGATGTTTATGTAAGATGTTTAGTAAGAAAACAAACAAGATATAGTAATAAGTGATGAAGAATATAAACATAATATAATTCTCGGTTACTTGATAGAAAAAATCTGGCAAACACATTTTCGTATGAACCCACTACTGGCCGCTTCGCGCCGCTACAGCTTGCATGTGTACAGGACTTTCTGGATGGGGAAATGGCTGGAGCGGCGTCAGGGGAAGTTGTGCGTGCCTGTGGGAGCGCCGGGCTCCCCAGGCGGGTATGACGTGCCTGCTGCCAGCAGTAGCTGGTGCAGGCGCGGTATGACGTCCCTGCTTATATGAAGCATACAAGATGATATATCTACGAATATATCTTGTATAATAAATGACTACTCTACTATAACCTGCTTGATCACTATCATACTAAATATCATGCAATATTCGCTTAACTATTACATTTTATAATGAAGTTAATTTTGTGAACAACATTTAAATCAGTGAGTACTGATTTACAACGTGCTATATTACACTTTCTCTGATATAATTATTAAGTGAACCTTCTTAATAATTTCTAATATCCGAGTTCATGAAATAACATTTAAAATTCATTATTTTTAAGACTAAAAATATGCCAATATTTTCATCACTGTGGATTAACTAATTATTTATCTACACAAATATTATTTCATTTCCCATAATATTTTAATGCAATCTCCCCAGCCTCGTTAAATCATTAGTTACATTTTAGTCAAAAGTCTCATAATTGTGAAAGCTTGTTTTTTAAACAAATTCAATGTCATTAAACTTTTTAAATCAAAATTATTCACAAAATTCTAACTTTCAAGCTTGTTTCTATAAGAGTTTTCCCGGAATGCAATTTTGAAGTTCATATTAAAATGACTGAAATTAAATTTAACAAATTATGCATTCTGTGGTCTGAAGTACACGTTTTCAAATAAGACAAAGGAAAATTGAAAGTAATTGAGAGGAAAATGGGGGAAATGGATCGAAAGTTTCACTTTTGTGAATGTGTTGAATACTAAATAATATATTGCAAATAATATCAATTGAATTACTATTTGCGTATTTAATAATATGCTCATGAAATCGCATATTGGTTGAGAGTATTAACTAAATTTAGTAATTTACGAAACAGGAAATGGATACTTGATGATAATGCCATTTTCGAAAATATTAATTTTACAAATCTGAATGTATGGTAAGTGTAAGTTCACTTATGAAGTTAATAAAAAATGTATGTATTTGTTAACTTTAGTACTTATTTACTGCAGGAGCATTCAGAATATTCATTTCTCATAATGGATATATAATATTAAAAATAATGAATTAACGTATAATTTAAGAGAAATAAAATATTATTCAAAAGGTTCCGTTATGAATATGCTATTGCCAAGTTTCAGTCGTATAATAACTAGTAAATTATGCCAAAAACACAAAAAAGGTATAAATTGATTAACATTGATACCCATCACAGTCGAAGCACAAGGATTTGCCAATTTTTCATATAACAACTCTCTTTCCTATTTAGCCTATCCCATTGCAACCTCTCATAACGTCAACTATTTCTTGGAGTGACTTTATGTAGGCCCACCGTCCATCTGAAGGTGAAAATTTCTCAATTTTTTTGTCGAAGCAACGCATATTTCAGTAGTGAAAGTGTCTCGTGGAATCTGTCTGGGAAGCGTTGTAGGCTTGACCATCTGTTCCCTGTTCGCAGATTTCGCTGTGCGACGAGTACAGCCTCCCGGTCGACTTCGTCAACAAACGGCGGCCGCACAGCTTCGGCGCGGGGCTCGCCAACTGGACCACCCCGAGCCCCAGCGGCGACCAGGTGAGCGACCGCACGTTTATGGATTACATGAGCGGCTTTCCATGCTTCTGTCACCAATATCATCATTATCAGCAGCAGCATCGTATCTGCTCTCTAAAAGTCAGAAATTCGACTACGTAGCCTATTTTAATTTGGGATTTAAAATGTCTAATGTGATCATTATAGTTATTTTCGTACGATTAAAGAACCTTCTTAAGGCCCGATAATAGGCTGGATTGATTGATTGTTTTGTGATCCCGGACACGTCAACTAAACAGGGTATTAGTCCCGTAAGTGTAGTGCATGCTTGTGCTCGTGAGGTGGCGGTGATCTTTCCCCCGCTGTATGGCGAGATTCGGCGTCCGACCTTCCCTCGGATAGTGTCAAAAAGCCTGCCGCTATCAGCATTCGAACCTAGGACCTCCCGGCCAGAGGGACTGGTGGCATCAGTTGATGCCCTGAGCCATCTCTCTCAGTATTATACGTTGGAACTGTATTTCTATCAGTGTCTTTACTCATGATGATAAACATACTTCATGATAATGTATATATTAAATCACTATTTCCCAATAACAAATATTTAAATATATGTACTGTTATTTCATTCCATATATATTTGGTGCACGTTCAGAAATTATATAACAGTCTGATAATTCGCTTCAGTTTTCTTTGAAATTAATTTTGCAGTTAATACATTTTGCTTTTTAGCTCAAATACTTGTATTTAAAATAATGCTGATGAATTTTCACTTTAATGGTACAATTTGAAGATAATTGAAGTATCCATTTGACCCCTTTTTACACCGTCCGTAACCTGACATCGCGACAAGCAGTCCGCGAGGGCTCATTGGCTGCGCTGTGAAAGTAACATTTTACACTACTTTTTGTGACGCCCGGTTTTCAATTACGATATCATTGAGTAGCTTCACAAAAGAATAACCTGATACTGCGTTAAAATTACAAATCGCTGAATGAGTAGTAAGTGCTGTATTTTGTGCTTCATACTAATGTTAACGAAGACGATGAGTAATTGATTAATGTGAACTACTGTTTTTTTATATCCGTGGTCGTCTAGAAGTACAATCGAAATACTAATTCATTCGAAGTAGAAAATGCCAACTACAGTTTGTACAACAACGAAGTTGAACATTATTGCTCGATGACTGTAATGCAAAATTCTTCAGTATAATATGTATTTTTATCATATCTCAGCAGTAAATCGTCTTTCTATTAATAAATATAGCTTTATTCTAATTTTCAGTCTTTGAATTACAAATATACAATGGATCTTGTTTTTTAGATAAACATTTAAAAAGACACTATTGTAAATTTATATTTGTTTATTTTATCAATTTTATCAGCACCGCAAAACAATTACATTGCATATACGTCAATTTTTTGTAATTGTAAATGTAATAAGAATGGAAACTGTAATGATAGTCATTTCCAATTATTGGAATGCAATACTCACTGCCGTCTAATGAGGACACAGAAAATGCAAATAACGGCAGAAGTAATTCCGGTCTTCCATTAATATTTATTGAGTACAATTTTTTCACGCCTTGAAGGGGAAAAACCCACACGTTCTTTTCAGAAGATACAAACCCATGGGAGAATAAAGCGCCCGCAGCGCAACGTTTAGGAGACGTAAAAAGCCCCGGGAGTGCTGTCACTAAAGGAAAAAAATAAGCAGAACGGACGGCGCGGCGCCGCGGAGGAGAGAGGTCGGGACCCGGCGGCGCCCCCGCCACCGCTCTGCGGTCCAGCGCAATAATCTTCTCCTCCTCCGCCACCTCCCTCTCTCTCTCTCGGGCCCGCGCTGTAGCCTCGCCCCGCGCCAAGTCCCTTACCCCGCTCTCGCAGCACTTGCGACGGCCTTCCGCCTCTACTCTGCCCCTCCGTCCCCTGCCCCTTCCTCTCCCTTCCGCACCGTTCCCTTCCCTTCCGTTCCATTCCGTCCCGCCCCGTCCGCCGTCCCAAACCGCCGCATTCCATCGCGTCCCGTCCCGTCCTGTCCCGACAACCCCATCCCATTTCATCCCATCCCATCGCATCACGTCACGTCACGTCACTTCGCGTCTCGTCGCGTCACGTTCCGTTCCGTCCATTCCCACCCGGACCTCTTGTCTCTCCCCGGTTCGTCTCGATCCCTCCCGCCCAATCTGGTGCCTTTTCCCCCGTCATTGCGCCCTTTCTCTTCCCTTCCCTTTCCTCCCCGTCCCGCCCCTCTCGTCCGGTAATATGACGTAAGGGAACCTTGTGTTGCGATTTTTGGCCTCGTGTCGTAACTTTACGTCACTTAGGAAAATCATTCTTGTCAATTAATTTCTCTATAATATTGAACGTCCTACAAAAATCGCAAATATAAACGTATCACAAAACGATATTATACGAATAACCACCCATTATGTCTAGACCCAGATATTGAGCAGGTGAATACCTTGTTAAAATCACAAAATTATGGTTTCCAAATATCTAAAAGAAGTCTGCTACTTCTAATATAAGGTGTACATTTAATATTGGTAGATTATTTTGAAAAGTTTTTGCCGTACACACAATATATTTCATTAGTATACATAGCACGTATTTGAAAATTTCAGTTGATATTGACAACACAGTAAATAGGAAGAAAAGGTGTATGATTTAAATGCTATTATTTTCGGAGCAAAATTCATTTATATCTCTTCAAATATATCTTTCTGCTATTCTACTGTAAATAAACAAACGCGTACGTCTTCCAAGAAGCCAACGGCGGATCAAATGACTCCTGGAGGAGAGAGACGAAGCTCCACCGCCGCCTCGGGCGCAGCGGCGGCCCCGGAATGGCGCGCTCGCCGAATCCAATACGCCCCACTAGCGCCGCGGGACGCGGACGGCAGCCGCGGGAACTTCGGACTCCCAGGGCGCTCGTTGACCGCTTCAATATCTCTAAGTTTCTTTTGCTTCCTCTTTACCCCCACCCCACGATGCCGCCGCCAGGGCGCGTTCCGCGCTGCCCCTTCTCGTCCTCTGCTCGTTCAGCTCGTTCAGTCCCGGAGCCCGCTTCTCTCCGTTCTGCCCCGTCCCGCCTCGTATTCGTCCCGCCCCCAAGCCCATCCTCCTCTGCTCCGCCCAGTTTACCCTCTCACTCTGTCAGTCTGTCTCTCTCTCTCCCTCTCTCTGTCTCTCCCCCTCTCTCTCTCTCTCTCTCTCCCTCTCTCTCT